CATGAAATTCAAGCTGAAGGGTACCAAAAATTCACACCCAAGTTGGGAGCAGTTATGACACTAGAATGAATTAGGTGATGAAAATCCTCCGATTTGCGCAGATAAATTGGCAAATGAAACCTAGTGGGAGTCAAGGCTAGGGTTGCCAGGTGTCCGGTTTTCAACTGGAATGCCCGGTCGAAAAGGGACCTTGGCGGTTCTGTTAGGCGGCACGGGGGGGCCTGGGGCTAAGGCAGGCTCACGACCTGCCCTAACTCTGTGTGGCTCCCGGAAGCGGCTGCCAGGTCTCTACAGCCCCTAGACACGTGGGCGGCCAGGGAGGCTCCATGCGCTGTCCACGCCACTAGTGCCGGCTTCGCAGTTCCCGTTGGTTGGTTACCGCGACGAGCCTCCCTGGCTGCCCTGCCCCCAACCACCTGCCCCAGCCCGGATTCCCCTCCTGCACCCCCCAACACCCCAACCCCTTTCCCCAGCCCAGAGCCCCTTCCTTCACCCCAAAACCTCACCCCAGAGCCCACATCCCCAGCCGGAATCCTCATCCCCCTGCATGCCTGCCCCATCCCCCTGCATGCCTGCCCCCTCCCACACCCTGAACCCTTCATGTCTGACCCCATCCCAGAGCCTGCACCTGCAGCCGGAGCCCTCACACCCTCCTTCATCCCAGCCCCAGCCCGGTGAAAGTGAGTGGGGGAGAGTGAGAGACAGAGGGAGGGGGTGGGGCCTCAGAGAAGGGGTGGGGCAGGGCAGGGGTGTTTGGTTTTGTGCGATTGGAAAGTTGGCAACCTTAGTTAAGGCCCCTTGATTTTCTATGTTCGGCACTAACGATTCGGATTGCCAACATCTCAACAGAATGGGAGCTGTGTTCTTTATAATGCTTGAGCTGTTAGCAATGTCATCTACACTAGCAGGGGAAATAAAGGACCCCAAGGGGCCGGACTGGCTTTCAGTTCACCTTTAAAACAGCATGCATGTCTTCTGCCTAAACTCTTGTAGTTACATAGCATCAACGTGGAGGGCCCTTGATACAGCGGTGATGCTGCCATTCTGCTGCATCTGGGTGGGACAGGATGCCAGCGTCCCAGACAGCATGGCTGAGCTTTCTGCACACCACCACACACTGCTCCATGGGGACTCCTACCACAGTCTAGCATAGTGGCTTTTTGGAGTGGGGCTGGATGCAGAGCCGAAGGCTGCAGTCACTGAAGTAGGTTGGGAGTGGATGGTGCTCAGCGTCTGGTGGAATTAGTCTACCAGTGCATTGTAGCTCTCCTCTCTGGAGCCCTCTAGGAATGCTGATCTCTGTGAACATAGGGCATGTTGAATTTCAAAGCTGAAATGTAGAGTGTTTCCATTCATTTCAGGCATCCCTATTCAGTGGAACTCCTGAATATAATGGAAAGGGATATGTGTGACGAACTGGGACTGTTCTTAATGTGGTCTTTGAATGCTGAGTGGGGAGTGTTGGCCTGGGAAGGCAGGGGAGTGGCTAGGATGGTCTGCATTGGGGGATGGGAGACTGGCCTTGAGGGAGGATACCTGAGCATGTAACATGAGAACCCAGGAAGGAGTTAGAGGCCAGGTGACACCTTTGCCCAGGGAAACTGAACAAAGGCTGAGGGAGGAGACGTTGTGGGGAGAGAGAGTTTTTCAGGAGCTGGCTGGTAATGGAGGAAACCGAGACGGGTCTCTGCCCCCCGCCCCCAATGGGGCTGTGGTGCCCCTGGGACCCCAAGATGGACCTAACTGCAGGGGTCCTGTTGTCTGTACCTGCAAGACCTGTCTTGGACTGTGTTCCTGTCGTCTAAATAAACCTTCTGTTTTACTGGCTGGCTGAGAGTCATGGTGAATCGCAGGAAGCCGGGGATGCAGGGCCTTGTGTCCCCCCACACTCCGTGACAATGTGCAATTATTTTTGTTAAAGGGACAGGTTTATAAGGGGGCATTTGGATATGAAGCAAGGACCACTTGATCTGCAGTCAAATACTCTACCACTGAGCTATATGGAACATTCCCTGAGGCATTGTATCCATTCACCTTATTGTATAGAAGCCTAGGCATTGTTGACTGTCTTTGACTTTGACCTTCTCGATAAAAATAGTGGCTCTAATGCCATCATGCAAATCTAACTTCCAAACCAATTATCCACTAGCAGTGGTCTGGGCAGGAATGGGTTTGAAATAAAAATTACATTAAGCTTTCCATCTCCGAAGAGAACCAGTATATCAATATCCAAATCAAATAACAGCAAAGCCCTTTTGTCTGTCAGATAGGAATAAGAATACATTAGGTCTGTAATATAATTTTCCAGGTGTCTCTAAAATGATGAGGTTTAAATTAAAATAAATATGACTGCATGCCTTTGAAGAGTTCATCTGGCTCAAGCATTCTATTGGAACAGCTGTAGCGCAACAAAGTAAATATGCTTTTTTTTTTTTGGATTATCCACACTTATGAGCAGCAGCTGTCCAGGGTACCTGATGGGAAGACATTGGGTAGAGGAAATAATTTGTATATTCCCAAGTATGCTTGATAAAAATCAGAGTTAGGAAAACTGACTTGCATGTAGTTTAGAGTTTCAGCCAGATGGACCCGGTAAATATTGAACTCAGTCTGATCTGGATATAACTTATATTCCTCCATAAACCCTTTTAGATAGTAAATGTTTTGGCAGTGGGGCTGTCTTTATTTATGTATCTGGTACAGGCCAAACAGACTGGTGCTAAATAAATAATCAATGATGATTATTATGCTATAGTATCATTGTCCTATCTCCCTGGCAACATGCTTGGTTTTTAGAGAGTTCCCATACCACTCCCCCCTTTTTATTTTAATTTTTGCAAATAAAATTGACAATAGGAAAGAAAAAATAAAGAAACTAATGGAGATATCCCATCTCCTAGAACTGGAAGGGACCTTGAAAGGTCATTGAGTCCAGCCCCCTGCCTTCACTAGCAGGACCAAGTACTGATTTTGCCCCAGATCCCCAAGTGGCCCCTTCAAGGATTAAACTCACAACCCTAGGTTTAGCAGGCCAATGCTCAAACCACTGAGCTATCCTTCCCCCCTCAAATACTCCATGCTGCTCCCCTATAGTAGTATCCAGAGATACGGACTGCAAATTGTATACACATTTTCCACCAACTGGAGAGAAGTCAAACAACAGTGATCCATTCAGCAGAATTCATTCAGTGCCACCTCCTCTTGATCAGAGTTTCACAAACGAGTGCTTCCTCAGACCTCCCGGCTTGCACGGGAGCAGTTGTAGCCTTGGGTTTGCAAACAACATAGTGTTGCCTGCTCTGTTCATTTGGCAGTTGTGAGGAGTACAAAACATCTGCACAAAGGTCCCAGTTCAGGAAAGCACTTCAAGCGCTTGCTTAACTCCTTTCCTGTTCATAAAAGCACACGCTTGAATGCTTTCCAGAATAGGGATAAGAGACTTAGGTTTTTCAATTCTGCCTCTCTTTACAGGAGCAAAACTTCTGCACCTTTTAAGTAGACTTGCTTGAAAGCCAGGAGAGTTGTTGAACTAGATTGTAAACTCTTGGGAGCAATGAGGATCATTTTGTTCTGGGTTTGTACAGTGCCTAGCACAATGGGGTCCTGGCCCGTGACTGGACCTTCTAAATGCACTGCTAATACAAATAAATAATAATAATAATATTATAATATTCCAGAAAATCATCGGTCAGAACTTATGTGAGCTGGGGTGACCTTAGGGGTGGGTAATCAGGTTGGCTACCCTGGGCACCAATGTTCAGGGGTGTCAAATCCTTGTGTTTTTTTGTTTGTTTGTTTGTTTTGTCTATTTGTTTTTGCTTGACAGGTGTTTTTATTGCTTTTGCTTGTGCATTTTGTGCGGGGTTGGGACTGGGGCATTGAAAATGTTTTCTACCCTAGGTGACAAAACCTTTAGGGCCAGTCCTGTGCTCAAGAATCATGTTTTTAAAATTCCCGTGGTCACAGAATGGCTCTGTGTAGGGCTGGGAGGAAGCTTTGCAGGGATGTTGTTGCACCTAGGCAATGGAAGTGTAATTACTAGCGGATACTGATTAAAAATTATGGTACAACCTTGAAAGTCTCTGAACACCAGAGACCCTTAGATCAGTGACTGGGCATGTTCGCACTGTAGACTGCTAAGTCAGTCTGTTACTTGGATGTGAGTCTGGTATAGCCCTAGCTAGAGAACGTCTATACCTCAAACTGTAGCAACTTGTGCTTTTAGTTCTGGAGGTTCTTGGTGTGTCACTCAAGAGGGAAGCTCTCATATGCTCCGGGTCCCAAGGATTCCACAGAATTAGTGGAGGTTAGGAAGAGTTTAGACATCTTTTCCTTTCATTGTATTCTTATTTTGTGGTGTCTTTGCACTTCTGTGTTTTAGCCTGGAGCAGAGAGGGGACAGCTGACCTGGCATTTCTGCCCCAGCCATGGTATTTCATGGAAAAACCTGCTTTCTCAGAAGATACTCAGCCAAATTTTACAGATTTCAAGCTACTTGGATAGGGTTCTAATGAGCTGCTTAATCATAGGAGATCAGGGTTGGAAGGGATCTCAGTAAGTTATCTAGTCCAGCCCCCTGCTCAAAGCAGGACCAATCCCCAGACAGATTTTTGCCCCAGATCCCTAAGTGGCCCTTTCAAGGATTGAACTCACAACCCTGGGTTCAGCAGGCCAATGCTCAAACCCCTGAGCTATCCCCCCCCTAAGTATCCTGAACCTCTCAGGAGAACCTTACAGGGCATATCCACCATTAGAAACAACGTCAGTGTCCTCCTTTAAAAAGCAGCCTGCCTGCTGCAGCTTGTTTTCTTTCAATGCCTCAGCAGGGGACCATTATCCTGCAGCAACATTATGCTCCATTAACATTAATTATTAGGAATGTGAATGTGTAATTACAAATATAAATACAATGGGCCTAATTAATCCTGGGAGCCGAAATGTAAGCTAGAAAATGATCTCTTTGCAAACATCCAAAGCCATGCTCTGTCTGTTTTGTGCAGGTGACTCTAGCCTCTCTTCAGCCTGTGTTCATGAGAACAACGTGCACAGTAGAATATTTCAGATCTTATACAGGAACGAAGAGATTGTTATCAACGAATCGATGAACTTCAGGGTCCACTTACTCCTAGATGGCGAGAGGGTGAGTTTTCATTGGATGTGAATAAAACAGATACTTTTCTGTTACAATGCACAGGCAGTATCCAGACGTCAGGCTTTCAACTGAATTCTAGAACAGAGTTGAAACTGATGGCTGGTCATGTCATCTGTGCTCTAGCCAGCACTGGGGACCTGCTCCATCTCTCTTGGAGCTTCTTGGGGCACACGGGAAGTGTGCAGTCTGCAGCGTCCTTTTGGCTAGTACAACCTGTTCTCCCACTTGGTATGCCCAGAGCTGCTATTGGGAGGTTAGGGGGGGAGCAGGGTCATGGCCCTACTTTCACTCTTGGATGGCTTGTGACCTCTCTGGGCACTAGGGAAGGAGCAACCCCTGTACTCCCCAGAGAACCAGCAGTGCAATTCTGCTTTATCCTTTCACAGCATGGAGATACATGTTCTTTGTGCCTTCCACCCATGTTGTTTACGTGTACTGTCTGATCTGGTATGCCCATTCCTATGTTGCCTCTGTACAAGGACTATCATTCAATTCTGTCATTCATATCTGCTCTCAGTAACGATGAAGATCTCAAGAGATCAGCTGCTCTCACAGAAATTCAGGAAATAGACCCTTCTGGTCCTGCAGACAACCTGGAATAAATGCCCCGGGTTAGGTTTGGGCGTGGCAATTCAACCCCTCCCCTCCCCCACTTCTCTTCATATCCTGAAATTCAAAGAGGAGCAGATCCTGTGTTCTGGTATTGGCTCATCTGAACGTACCTGTAGCTTTAAAAACAGTTATGGTGTAAAGTCTCTTTTAGTTAAAACTACTAGAAAAATTTAAGTTTGTTTGAACTGCTTCCTCTCCTCTATTCTTACCGTGGGATTGATCTCCTGTGTTCTCGCCTAAAACATTTGTTTCTAGTTTTATGTATGTTTATATGAGAAATGGACAATCATGAACTGTGAAGGAAGGGAAAATTCCCTCCTTTCACATATTGTGAAATTTGACAGAAAAAAGAGTTCTAACAAATTTAGCTGCAAATTAATTTACCATCATGATGCAAAATCTGTCATTAATCAGTCTCTCTCCCCAAGTTACGGTGACTTCCACTAGGTCGAGTGGCTTCATGCTGACTGCTGCATTAGCATTTGGGACAGATTTTCCTGCCAAAAATGAAAATGATCCTGCCAGTTTCCTCACACCAGCTCAAACACGTCCCTGTGCCTGATGTGTTGTGTGGAGCGTGATTTAGATAATAAGCTCCTAAGGGAAATGACAGGGGCCTGATTCGCCACTCGCACACTGGCTTTACACAGATACCAACACTGTTGTCTTCACTGGAGTCACACCAAAGCAATTCGGAAGTAAATGAAAGAAGAATCAGACCTCATGTCAACTTATGTATTTACACATCACTGGATGTACTGCTGACACTCTGTAAATAATAAGTAACAATAACTGTCACTCAGAAACTTTGGTACTTTTCATTCCTTTGTTTGACAGCTTATTCATCACATGATAGAGCCCCGTCCTGCCAGCCTTCCTCAGATCAAGTAGCACCTCGCTTTGCAAGCAGTGGAGGAAGGTGCTACTCTGCATGAGTAAGGGTGGAAGAGTCACCGAGGCACAGAGCTGATCAATGACCAATAAAATTAGTTAGAAAGTCAGACGGGGCAACTTGGGTGCTTGAGTTACTATCCTCTGTGCATTTTGGCTGTCGGAGCTTGATTTAGAAAATATTCCAGTAAACAAGCTGCATGCACTGCCAAACAGTGTTTGGGTAATTCCAGCTAGGGGATAGGCTGCTATCAGTTTATTCGGTACAAAATAATAATAATATTGGGTGGATTTTGGTTAGATTCTCTCCTTGTGATCTGTTTCCATAACCCAAGAGAAGCTTAAATGTCCTTTATACTTAAAAATATGGAAATAACTCTGGAGTCCAGCCATAGGTGGAATATGCCACCAATTATCAGGCTTGGAGAGGTAATGAGTACACCAGTCTCCATCTAAATATGCCTCATTAAAACTCTCTAGTGTTGTGGCAGTTGGCTCTGCCTCATTCTAATATCCCAGAATGCATCATTCTTTGATTTTATTGGAAATGATGATTATGAGGTTAGGTGGAATAAGCCCACAGGGTTGCAAAGGAGCCTGATTTATTTTCTCATGGGTTTCAATTTCTTTTTTAATAATAATAATTAATAATACATTATTATTTTATTAACAATAATAAAAAGCTGGTTCCATGCTCTTCAGTAAATGGTGATAGGACAGAATGATGCATTCTGGGGTGTGATGGTAGAGTTGAGCCACCTAACATGAATCTGGGATTCTTTACAGTCAATTTTTAGCACTTTCTGTTCTCTCAACCTGCGTATTGGGGGCACACAGCACCAATTGCTCAAATCAGCCATAGGGAAATAGAATTTCCTTTGGCTTACTTTTTTTGATTTTTAAGCTGCCTTTTAAAGATGTCATCCAGAGGAGACTAGACACCTAGGTGTTTATATAGCATTCCAAAGCAACTGTGCCCCAGTAAAACTTGAGGGCATGATCAAAAGATTATTGATGTGAAAGGAAAGCCTATGACTGGTGTCAGTGACTTTTGGATAAAGGCCCCAAGGCCCAGAGTTTTGAAGGTAGTTAGATGTTTTGAAGGTGTCTAAAGTCATCAGGATGGAAAAGACATTTCAAGTAGGTTCTCCCTGTTTCAGGTCTCATTGCTAACTCCAGAGCTACCTCCTCATGTGCACCTCACATCACATAGTGAGGAGAAGCCATTTAATCCTCGCTATTCCCTGCTGTGTGCCTCATGTGCCCCTCCACTGTAGCTTTAGCACGACCATCGTGCCTGGAATTGTGGGGAACAGTTGGGCTGGTGTAGGGAAAGGCTTTACCAGAACTCCTTGTGCCTGACTCTGACCTAATTTACACTGGAGAAGGAATCTGATGTAAAGCCTGTTGATTTCTAAGGGCATTGTAGTCAATGGGGTTATATTGGTGCAGAGCTGGTCCGGACATTTCTATTGGAATAAATGCAGTGTCTGCAGAATTGAAATTTCCCATAGGAATATTTTGATTTGCTGGGTTTTTTTTTTCATTTTTTGCATTGGGGAAATTGAAATGAAAATATTCCATTGACTGGAGAGTACTTTGTAGTGTCTTATCTTGAAAGTTCTCATTCTTCTGCAACTCTTCCTGATTTCAATGGGGGTAGCGGGTGCTCAACAGCTCTTAAGATCAGATGCCAAATTTCATCCACACTTGGTGGATGAGACTTGATCTGTCTCAGGCACAGCCCCCGGATTGAATCCCTAGTTTAAATGCAGACTGCAGTTCCAAAGGTTTTGCTATATAATAATTATTTCCTTTGTATCCAGCAGTGACTGTGATTTGAGTTTTAGCAACAACAATACACTTACAAAAAAAAGTCTTGTTTTGATAAACATGCTTGCAGGTATTTCAAGACAAATATTCAATAAATAGGTAGAGGTTGGAATTTCCTCATCTCCGGTCCCACCACGAGGTATCATCTCCTGCACTGCAAAATAATAGATTACTTTGGGAGGGTTTAAGTACCTTTACTTTGATTATTATGACAAAGCTAACGCCTTCTTGAATTCTAAATTATCTCCTTCCCCACCCCCACACACATAAAAAGATGTTGTTTCACCTTTGCAAGATGTAGTTAAAGCAAATGTTATAACAGGTATCATATGATTCATGCATATCTGTGTAGGTCTGGTGCCTTTGAAATGTCTTTAGTGGGTTACTGACAGGGGTTAAAGTAAGTTAAAGGACTTACCAGTATGCCGGAGTCCTGAGCAGGGGCATGGCCTCAACCAGAAGAGACACGGCCTCAATCGGAAGAGGCGGGAACTTTAAATCAAGATTTAAAGGCCCCAGAGCCTTTAAATCACCTCCGGAGCTACCAGCTGCAGAGGTGGCTAGGAGCCCTGGGGCGATTTAAAGGGCCCGGGGTGCTGGCCGCAGCTACTGCAGTGGAGCTCCGGGTCATTTAAATCACGGCCGGAGCCCTGCTGCCAGAGCCCCGGTTTAGTGGCGGCAGGGCTTGGGCAGTGTTTTAAAGGTCCGGTGCTCCCCGCAGTGGCTCGGGAGGCAATTTAAAAGGCCCTGGGCTCCAGCCGTTGCGGGGAGCCCCAGGCCCTTTAAATCACCAGCCTGGGGAAGCCGGTCGGTCCGGCATGGCGCACCGGCTCTTGCCGATACGCCGGACAGGACCGGACTGGACTTGCTTACTTTCACCTCTGGTTACTGATATAAGGCCTTTTGCTGCAAAGAACTGAGTACCTGCTACAGTGTGCTTGTGTACAGCAATGTCATTGTAGAGAGTCTATTATACACAGACGAGTAGTTCCTTTTCTATCAAGTAGAGGACAGGGTACACTAATCAGTAACACCTTCTTCAGTTTCTGCCCTACATTGCTATGGTGTGTTAAACAGTCATTGTGTTGTACATGAGAAGTAGCTGCATTTTAGTAATAGAAGCACTGATTTGTGCTTGTATTTCAGTTAACTAAAACTAAATGCAAGACGTTGTTATAAACTCTCTCCGAAAGTTGCATTGCTGGTTGAGAAAAGTGAAACAGACAATTGTTAGAGGATTAGATTCTGCTTCCATTCTTTAGCACGTATTTCTATTGGCTTTAATTGTGTCAAACTATATGGTGCAGTGCTAGATCCATTCTTTCCAAGGTTAATTTAAATTAATTTGCAGCTCATCTTATTTTCTTTTTCATAAAATCGAATTCAAATTCTTTTATTAACAAAAAATATCAGGAAAAACTTCCTGATGGTGAGCTCTATTAGACGAGGGTGTCAAACACTCAATTTGAAGGCCAGATCTGGCCCATATGATATATTTATTTGGCCTGCTTGGTACATCCAGATTCTGCAGAATCTAAGTTGTCCTTAAAATGTTTACCCCTCATGTTTTGCAACTAAAATCTTCCTAATATGAGCCAATTGCAAACCGATAAAGTGCTTTCTTCCTAAGTCTGCAGAGAGCCTATAACAAAGGCTCTGAGAGGTATGAACACCCCTTTAATCTCATTGGGGTGTTAACTATAAAGACTAAGGATATTTGAAATGTTGGGATTAACTGTTCGCAGTGTTGTAGCCATCTCGGTGCCAAAATACTAGAGACACAAGGTGGGTGAGGTAATATCTTTTATTGGACCAACTTTTGTTTGTGAAAGAGACAAGCTTTTGATTTTACATTCTGTAACCTACTAACCCCCCTTTGTCCTATGACTGCAGAGTCTTGAGTGGTCCCTTGCAACATGTGTGAACACCTTATGCTATACATTCTATTCCACTTTGTATTTAGCTGTGGCACTCTGAGTATCTTTCCCAGACCTAAAGAGCTCTTTGTAAGCTCAAAAGCTTGTCTTTTCCACCAATACAAAGTGGTCCAATAAAAGATACTACCTCAGAATTAACTATTTAATTTATGATTGTTTTATCAGTAACTGGACTCTGCAGTAGTTATTGATGGAGAACCACCACTGTTCATGGTTCTGTATGAATGTAGAAGTAAAACTAGTCCCTGCTGTCAGTGAACTCACAATATAATTCAGACTAATAATCTCCTAAAGAGTAAGCTGAGCTATCCATTACTTGGAACATCTAAACTTGATGATAAAACCACTACAAATGTCTTGTGTGGGTGTGACATTCCTCAATCTGGACTGTTGAACAGCTGTGTCCCCTCAATTTTCCAACCTGGGCTGCCTTTTACGCTGCTGGCCTGTTCATGCACACCCTCTAGCATGCAAAATCACTCCCAGCTGAATGATATGGGTGCTCTAGCTAGTCATTCCTGAATTATAGTGCAGAGTGACACCAGTAAATGCTCAGTCCCAGACTTGTCCCCAGAAATGTGCGTCTTGTACTGCCCAGCTCCCTCTTGGACAATACAAGCTCATAGAAAGTCTGCCATTTCATTAATAGAAAATGATATGCACAAACCCTATTATCTCAAATGGAGGTTCTCAAACATTTCAGTCCAAACATACTGGCTTAGTTAAAATAATAAAAGTTTATTAACTATGGAAAGATAGATTTTATGTGATTGCAAGTAATGAGGTGCAAAAATCAGAACTGGTTACAAAGAAATACAAGATAAAAGACAAACTAATATCTGATTTAACAAGCTAAGTGAACTTAAAGCAATAGAATTTCTCTCACGGCAGTCTGGCTGGATTTTTCAGCCAGGACCCCTCCCGCAGTTCAATTCCCTCTTTTGTCTTTCAAACATTGTTAATGCCGTGAATAGAGATGAGGGGAGAGAGGTGATTTGTGTCCTTTGTTCTCCCTTCTTATACCATTTCTTTTCTTTGAGAATCATCTCCAGCTGGAGTTCAGAGGACAGCAAGTCTGTCTGCCAAGATGTACATTTCTCGCTGACACCCTTCTTCCTACCAACGAATGGCCGCTTAACTTGGTGACAGTCTCTTTGATTATGCTGACACCTGGCTGAGGTGCTGGCTAGCAATTTGTCTCTGAGGAACTGGTCTGGGCTGCTTCCTCAGATTTAGAATATGCCTTACTGACATCATACAAAAGAATTGTATAACTTTACATACAATGTTGACACACATATTTCATCAGGACAGTAATGTTCAGCAAATTATGAGTTTTCAAATTATACCTCATAAGGCGTATTTTGTAAAAAAAAATTATCATAGTCTTGTAAAAAGGATGAACATGAGGGTACAGTCTGTCACAGTGGGACAATCTTTCACTGGCAGGGTTTGGACTAGATGAGCCGATAGGACTTTTCCATCTCTAATTTCTGTGGTTTATTTAGATTGTCAGCTCTTTGTGTGAGGGACTGCCTTTTTGTTCTCTGTTTGGTACAGCACAATGGCTACGGCTCCTGGGCATTACTACAATACAAATAATACTGACAATCATTCACCAAATTACTTACATTTCTGAGTGTAGTGTAATAGGGAATTAACATGTCTGAACCAGTATGTTTTACATACTCTTTTGAGTAGAGATGAGCCAAAACCTTATGACTGAACAGCCCTGCTCTGAACACCTCTGAAGCTGTTTGAAAGCTGGATGCAACGTTTATAATGTGGGTTCTTTCTGCATTCTGAAGCACGTTCCATTTAGCGAAAGTTTGCTTACTGCTAATGCCATCAAATCTTATTCTCATTTCAGAGCAATGTATTTGTATGTCTAAAGCTGGACAGTAGCTCTGAATCCTGCTGTAGTTGACCAGTTATATTGCCCAGATGTTCTATGTATACACTTCAGCAGTTTTCTCACACTGCTCCTGCATTTCTTTGCACTCTCTTAATCAGACAAAATTATTGCTTTGTGCTTGGGTTTTGTGTGAGCTGGCTTACACAGGTAACTCTGCCCTTCTGTTCTTTGCAGGTGGAAGATGCATTAAGCGAAGCAGATTTTCAGCTCAAGTTGGACCTGCACTTTACTGATAGTGAACAACAGTGAGTGTAATTTTAAAGCCCCCTTGATATTGTAGGGACTCTCCCGCCTTTGGGTAACATGAATTCAGTGAAAGTTAAAGAGTCTTTTGGAAACTGGAGAGCTCTGATTTGGCTTCCGTCTCTCTTGCAGAGGTGCCTGCCCATTCCTCTTCCTCCCCTCCTCCATCCCTCTCCCCCACCAAGGGCATTTTTTTCATCCCTCCCCTTGCAGCAAGAGATTTTCTGTTTTAAGGGTGAAATTTTCAGAGGTGCTTGGCACTTCTCTAACTGCTACTATGGAAACAGGAAAATAGGAGTTTTCCCATTGACTCAGTGGGACCAGGGGCTGCAATTTGGGAAAGCATTGCTTTTCAGGACATGCTTCAACTTTGTCCTGGATAAGGATGGACTTAAGCAGATGTCTTGTGCTTTTCTGAATCAGGGCCAGAGTTAGGTCAAGCCTGAGCACAGTTGGAAAATCTCACCCTCTGTGTGTATGGGCTAAGAGCCTGATCCTATGCCACTAAAAGCAATGAGAGTTTTGCCATTAACTTCCACAGGAAGAGGATCAGCCCTTGATACAGGAGCTTTGCATTACTCCTAGTTCACCGGTCTTGCCAAACCACACTTGTAGCTGTGCTTGAAGGAGCCTCTCAGGCCCTACTGAGGTCATTGAAAAGTCTTCCAGTGACTTCAGCAGGAGTTAGATGAGGTCCACAGTGAGCTCCTTGGAATTGGGCTTCACACCTAATTTGGCCCCATGTCACCTTACACTTTACAGTGGAGCTCAATGTGCCATTTCCATTTAGTTTTTGTATGGTGTAGATGAAACGAGAGAAGCTGTGCTATTGCGTGGTGGTGGCAGAGCGCGGGAAAGTGCTTTAACATGTCAGGGATGCGATGAGGGCCTGGAGGAGAAAGCAGAGTCAGGAAAATGAACTGCAATTTATCAGAAATCATCTAGTGCATTTATTTCATTTTACAACCGTTATTGTTATCTGAACAATTATTCACCAGGCCTTTTTTAAAGAAAAGTTTCTCTAGTGGTATTTTGGTAGGAACAATTACACAAGTCTCAGTGAAACAACTCTGTTCATCCAAGGATGCTCTGAGGGGTCTTTATAACCCTCCAGTCTGTTCTTTCGCTATTGCCGTCCCCCTGAGGCAAATCAGACTGCTTTGCTACGCATCCAGATTAGTGCTAAATTCTGGGTGCTGAAATTTGAAATAGCGGGGCAACCTGCTACCTGCACTTCTTCCCTGCTACCCCAAAGTTTCCCCCTAGTGTGAGTGTGGTGTACAGGAAGGAGATTGCTGCTTGTCTGGCAGACCCAGGATGGGGCTCTTGCATTCTGTCATATCTGTTTTTTACTGTAGAGTAATAATATTTACATCCCCGCTACTTGCAAGTGCAATTAAGAGATAAGCATCAGCTGAGTAAATGCTCTGGTAGCTGAGACTGTCACCGTGAAGTGATAAAAAATTCAGCTCATGTGGTCTCCCAGTCTGCTGCCTTCAATGCCATTGTAGACTGTGACAACTTAAGATTTCACTAACCCTTGTAAACCTCTCCTTTCAGGCTGAGAGACATTTCAGCGATCCCTGTGATAAGCAGCCGTACTTTGGGGCTTCACTTCCATCCAAGAAGAGGCTTGCACCACCATGTTCCTGTCATGTTTGACTATTTCCACCTGTCAGTGATATCTGTTACAGTGCATGCCTCACTGGTAGCGTTACACCAGCCACTGATCAGGTAAAGAGCAGAGAAATGGAGGTTGCGGTACAGTTCTTATGACAATGTTCACCCATCTGATAGTAGCAGCCCGTGCTTTAGAGCGGAAGGATGGACTTGTGCTTCTGGTCCTGGACTGGGATTCCGGAAGTCTGCGTTTGTATCTTGGCTCTGCCACAGACTTCCTGAGTGTCCTTGGGCAAATTGCTTCATCTCTCTATGCCCCAGTTCCCCTCCCTAAAATAGTGATGATAGCACAACCCCACTTGACAGGGATGTTATGAGGATGAACACATGAAAGATTGTGAGGTGCTTAGATAGGGCTGCTTGGGGCCATACAAGTCCCTTAGATGGACAGATGTGAAATATTGTCATTTCTCCCTAGACCTAGATACTGCTATGAAGTATGTAACTATTGGTGTATGTTTATAATGCACTTTATAATGTGCACTATATGTTCTCAGTTCTCCCACCGGATAGTTTTGCCAACATCTCCCTGTGCCCCATTATTCTCCTCTATAAATGGACAGAACAGTAATAGCTATGGGGTGTGGGAGGAGGGGGGAATGGCTTTCTTCTCCTGAGAGGATTTTCAAGATTTTGAGACATTTTCTCATCCTGAGTCAGGATGCAAATATGAAATCTCAAATTTTCATGAGCTGACAAACCTTTTGGTTTGGGTCAACGGAAATGTTTTGTTTTGATTTTGACCTTTTTTTACTATGCGTTAAATTTCAGTTTAAAAGGTTAATTGATTAAATTGAAACCTATTACTTTTCATTTCAGAAAATAGTGTCATGTGACATTTCAACAATTTCAAAACATTTTTTTTTGGTTTGCTGGGGAATTCTTGGGAGCTGACCCTTTCCCACAGACAGTTTGAGTTTCGATGAATTGGCATTATCAGCAACTCCCCCCTCCACCTCTGTTTTGTCAAAAAATTGCCAACCAGCTCCAGTTATTAGGCTTAATTATTGTTTATAAAGTGTTTTGTTATCCTCTAAGGCAGGGGTTCTCAAACTGGGGGTTGGGACCCCTCAGGGGGTCACAAGGTTATTACATGGGGGGGTCGCGAGCTGTCAGCCTCCACCCCAAACCCCGCTTTGCCTCCAGCGTTTATAATGGTGTTAATTTATAAAGGGGGTCATATTCAGAGGCTTGCTATGTGAAAAGGGGTCACCAGTACAAAAGTTTGAGAACCACCGCTGTAAGGAAAGGAGCTAGAGAAGTGTAAAGTATTATTACTATAAGACATAAACAGCATGATAGACCACTGATCTATAGCTGGGTTACTATTAAAGCTTAAAAATGTGATTTTGTGGATGTTTATGAAGAAAAGAGTGTTTTGCTTTCATGCAGTGGAATGGAAATACATTTTTGACAACACAATATATGGTCTCATTTGGTTCAGTCAATAATAATGATAATCTGAAAGTGAAATATTGTGGATTTATCTGCCTCTTGATAAACATCCAGAAACCTAAATATTAATATAGCATAAATTCACTAGCCATAAAACAGGGTAAAATAAATAGTATAGAAGCAACTTCTGTGCCATGCAGTCTCAAACAAAACCAGCCTATTAAAACCAGCATTCTTTTTTCCAAGTTCAGAGCCTTTGTGTGTAGGCAGGCTTATCTTTGCAGTGTCTGCTGGGATCACAAAGAAAAAGGCTTAATTGTAAAAGTTTTGATCTAATAATAAGATCTTACTTTTGCAAAGCCTCAGTAACTTTCTGATCATAAATTCTCTATCTTGTCACAGTATATTAAGATAAAAGCAAAGCTTATTTATTTGCAGAACAAAAAAAGAAAAAATTAGTGTGTGGTAGCCTTTGGTGTTTCATCATATTTTAGTTTCCTGGGAATCTTAAATTGTTTTCATGTAGATTCAGAGATTCTAAGGCCAGAAGGGACCATCATCATCATCTAGTCTGATCTCCTGTATAACACAGGTCAGAGAACTTCCCCAAAACAATTCCTAGATCAGATCTAGATTCCTAGAGCTTTAAAAATTGTCAGTGATGGAGAATTCACCACAACCCATGGTAAATTGTTCCAGTGGTTAATTACTTTCACTGTTAAAAATTTACACATTATTTTATCTCTTAATTTTCTAGCTTCAACTTCGAGCCACTGGATCATGTTATACTTTCTCTGCTAGACTGAAGACCCCATTATTAAATATTTTTCCCCGTGTAGGTACTTATAGACTGTCATCAAGTCACCCCTTAACTTTCTCTTTGTTAGACTCAAGGAGCTTGCTCTATGTAGCTTATCACTATACAGAATATTTTCTAATCCTTTAATCATTCTCATGGCTCTTCTCTGAACCCTCTCCAATTTATCAACATCCTTCTTGAATTGTGGGCACCAGAACTGGACACGGTATTCCAGCAGTGGTCGCACCAGAGCCAAATACAGAGGTAAAATAACCTCTCTTCTCCTACTCAAGATTCCCCTATTTGTGCATCCCAGTATCGCATTAGCTCTTGTGGCCACAGTGTCACACTGGGAGCTCATGTTCAGCCGGATATCCACCACGACCCCAAAATCTTTTTCAGAGTCACTGCTTCCCAGGATAGAGTCCCTCTTCTTGGAAGTATGGCCTATGTTCTTTATTCCTAGATGGATATGTTTCCATCCAGCCATATTCAAACACATTGTTTGCTTGCGCCCAGTTACCATGCAATCTAGCTTGCTCTGAATCAGTGACCTGTCCTCTTCAGTGTCCGTTTATTCATTACACATTGCTTATCTGTAGAGCAGTGGTTCTCAAACTTTTGTACTGGTGACCCCTTTCTCATAGCAAGCCTCTGAATACGACCCCCTTTATAAATTAACACCATTATAAATGCTGGAGGCAAAGCGGGGTTTGGGGTGGAGGCTGACAGCTCGTGACCCCCCATGTAATAGCCTTGTGACCCCCTGAGGGGTCCTGACCCCCAGTTTGAGAACCCCTGCTGTAGAGCAATGGGAATTCTCATTCTTCCAATCTTGCTTTGTCCAGTGCAAGCTCATCCCCATCCTAGAGCCCGGCTACATTAATGAAGGAAACAAGAATACATTTGTATAAATATCAGGTCAGACTTTCTTCCCAGATATGGCTGTTACTATGGTTCCTCCCTCAGGACTGTTCTGCCCACCCCCTAGATCCTCTCCCCAAAGAGCTATCCCAATCTCTCTTACATTTAAATAGGGAAATGTGACCTGTATCAGTGAGTCAACAGAACCTACTTAATCCTTTCTAACAAGAATCACTGTTTGCCTAACGGACAGGATATGTAAGGTAAACACTGCCTTACTACCATATTACCTCTTCCGTTATCTCTCATCACTATGGTTGGCGAAGGCAGAGTGCACAGTCAGAATCTCAGCTACGTGGCCAGCCCAGATGGTTTTAAGCATAACTGTGGAGTACAATACAATTAGCAGCTCCGTTTTGACACAGTGAACAGCTGATTTATTAGTTATTGCAGCAGACCTGATACTCTGCCATTCCAGCTGTGTTACCGAACGCCTGCGGGATTGAACTCGCTGCCGCTCCGAGTATTGTTTCGAGCCTCAAGTTTTATGCTTCAGCATTTCGGATGTAAACAAACGTCAGTAATGAAGATGCAGTCACCCCGGGTTTATGAGCAATGGAAGCAAATTTAGGTCTGGAATCTGGGGCAGTGGAGAGGCACAGTATGATCCTGTGTGGCCTTAAACCCACTCCCACTTGGCTCTCTAAAGCTAAACAGCGGTTTCCCTGCAGAATAGAGTGACCAGACAGCAAGTGTGAACAATCGGGATGGGGTAATAGGAGCCCATATAAGAAAAAGACCCCAAAATCGGGACTGTCCCTATAAAATCGGGACATCTGGTCACCCTACTGCAGAAAGAGGGCTAGAGGGGTGTTTTAAAGACCAGCTAGCACTTCTCCCTAGCTTCCGCACTCAGCAGCGCTAGAGACAGAGATAAGCTGCTTTTAATTCTTCTTTTGTCTTTAGGGCGCTGAGCCAGGAGCTGGTTAAAATCTCCCGATTCAACATTTATGGCTAGTTAAAACCCGCCCGAGGAAATAGGAGAGTGTGGAACAGCAGAGGGTGGGCCTAGTACTTCTGATTTAGATGCAAGAAGAAATGCAGTACAATAGGAATATTGTGCTAATGGGGGTTTTGTGCCCATTGCCCCAGCCTGCAGCACGTCTCTGCTCCCACTCCTGCTTTCCCCAGCAGCCAAACGCTTCCCATCAATGACAAGGCCTGCCACACCACTACGCTCAAACGGTGGGGGCTTCAAACTCCTTTCTCACCGCTCCTGAACCCTTTGGCTCCCCTAGTAATTGGTGCATTGCAGCTGTACGCCGGCAGTGCTGAATTCTTTCGCCAACTGCTTTTCCGGGAGCAGCGTGAAAAAAGTAAGATGTCTGTGGGGAATGTAAAGCAGGACTTGAGTGACATGCTCCAGGATGCTGCAGAAATCACTGTGCATAATAGAAAGCAAGGGGCTGTGCTTGTTGGGACCCGATTCCTCAGCAGTCCCACAATGGAAAGAAGATAATTCCATCCGGGAAGGGAAACATGTATCTTTACTGAAGGGGATAAAACGTGTTGGGACAAGAACATAGAACTTTTAAAATATGCACAGTTTTGTAGGGAAACTAAGAGCAGGAAACTAAACCTGCTTTATTGGATAACAACATCCTTTGTGCTGCTCTCTCTAAACAGGAGGAAGCACATGCCGCTGCTCATAAGACAAAACTACAGTGTGCAAATAGCCTCTGACTTGAGTGTCTGAACTGTTGATTGTCAAATCCTTCCCTGAGTGCACTAGGAGGCCACACCCTCTATGTTCAGCTTAGGTTGACTTGCCTTCTAATGAAAGTTCATCCAGGAACGTCAAGTGATTTCTATTTTAAATCTTCCAGGAGCTCTCTAGGCATTTGAGAGTCATCATTCCTTGTCAAATTGCCATTGTCCATAAAAACAGGACTGATAAAATCTGTGCAGCCTTTGGCACTGTGCAGAATCCAGTTCA